ATTTAAAAAATGTATAAAATATTCTATCAAATTTATAGTACCGTAGCAAGTATTTAATTTAAAGCTATATATTTTTTAAAAAATTATTTTTAAATTAATTAAATATATTTTATTTGTAAAAAGTATTTTATAAAAAATATATGCATTTATTATTTAAAAATATAAAAATTATTAATTATTTTTATTTAAATTACAGCTATTTTTACAGTGTTACTTAAAGTAAAATAATTTATATCATCGTGAGATTATGCGATTTTTTATAATGATATTTTTAAAATTTAATAATTAAGAAGACTTATAAACTAAAAAAAAAAAGAAAAATTAAAATTTCGCCTATAAATCTTTGGGATTAATTGTTCTACGCATCTTCAGTCTTGACCACGCAAAGTAACTTGCATGTCAATTATTTTGTATATTTTAATTGACTCGTCGTCCTCGTGCCTGTCAATTTAGAAAACAAATCTCTGGTCACTCCAATTATACACATTCGATCGATCAATTTTCCAACTTAGAAAATTCATTACACCATTCGTTGGCACTTCATGCTGAAAGTCCCGGGAATACACCCATATTTTTATTATTCTTGGCCATTATAATTATGGGTATCAACAATCTTTTGCACTTATGTTGAAATATTTCAAGGATTTAAATTAGAGTTTAATTTAATATAATTTTTTAATATTATAAACTAATTAAAATATAACTCTATGGGTTGAAATCATTGAAGTTGTAAATGAATTATGATAGGCCTTGTTTCTTGCAACAACTTCATGTTAATTTGAAGATATACAGCTCTTACTTGAAGCAAGAGTCATTGCAGATAATGGCATTGACAATGACGAGCTATTTAGGAATATGCTTCATGGATTAGATAGAATTTTTCAGTAAAGAAGCCCGATGAAAATAGGCTAGATATATTGGAAGAGTTCTGTTATTTTATAAAGTAAATATAAAAAGGTACATTTATTATCTTAAAAATATAAAATATATTTAATATTTAATAAAAATATTAAGATAACTTATAAAAATGAAAGATAAAAAAATAGAATTATTTATCTCTGAAACACTTATTCGTTAGTTGACATTAATTCGATGTAGAAATTCAGTGTATTAACGGTACAGGCTTAAAAGCACAGGATCAGATTATGCACCAATTCTAACTAATGATTGGCAATTGATTTTGAAGCTTGGGTGCATTGAAGAACTTTTAGTTGAGCTCAAAGAACCTTTGCATTTGTGTTTTCAGCCTTAGGAGCAATGATGGAAGCCAACCATGTTGATTTTGGTGAACTTTATTGATTCGTAGACAGAATGTTAGAAAGCTAAACGGATTTGTTTAAAATACTTCATCGTAAGTATGAATAATCTTATCTTTAAGTATACTAATAAAATTAAGATATTATATTAAAAATTATATTAATTTTTTTATAGACAAAAATTTCTTAATTCTATTAAAATAAAATTATTTATCTCATAAGATAATTTAGACAAATCCTTTTAATACTACACATTTTCAGTGTCATGAATGGACTGAATTAATATTAAGTGATGGGGACGAAAATAGTATATGCGAGAAAAGCAATTAGTTTTGTTTGAAGAGAACAAAATATGATGAATGTTTCCATGAATCTTTTTAGACGAGTCAAGAAGAACCTGATCGGTAGAAACAACAGCCTACACACCTGCATTTGAAGTTTAATGTGAAGAACTTGTCTCCTTAATTGGGCATTGATTTCTTCTCACTAATTAGATTTGCTCTAGGTGATCCAACCACTATTGCTATAGATGGGCTTAGATGAATTACTTTTCAACAAAGATGAATTATTACAATCATAAAAGATATATTAAAAAGTAGATTTACACCATTTTAAAGAGTAATTTAATTTTTTTAAAATTATTATTTAAAATAGATGATTTAAAGTTATATGTTTGAAATTAAAAAAAAAATGTATTCATGTTTTTTTATTACAAATTAAAATCAATTTTTTGTCTTATTAAAATTTAAGTTTATTTATGGATTGTGTTAATAAAATAGTTTACATCTAAACGAATGTTTAAATAAAAAAAGAGATTAAAATAATAGAAAGTTTTAATATTAATAAAGAAAAAATAAATAAATAAATAAAAAAGAAAATATTATAATTTTAAAGTCACTTTTAAATTTTGGTACTTATAATCGTTTTATAAAATTATTTTTAATAAGTAATCATATTATTTCGCTTAACAAATTACTATTTTAAAAGATACAAAATGATGTAGTAGAATTAATAATAATTGAATTTCCTTAATAAAGAAAGAACAATGTAAGTAATGGAATAAGCAAAAAGCATTGAAAAAAATGGAGATATTAAATCCGATGATGATGTCTTTTAGTAGCCCATTAAGTAATGTTGGCTATTTGGGTTTTAGCTATCTTAGTAGTCGACGCTGAGATGCCACAATAGCAAAGGAGATAGAGTTGGAGGAAGATACAGCACAAAAACAATACCTTTGACTTGATTTGTTGGACTTGGATCAAGTGCCTCGGCAACTATCAGGCATAAGACAAATTGATGTGGAGATGCCGCAATAGTAAATATACTTTCTATGACTTCTGAAACAAATGAAACAGACACTAATTGCATGAATCACCAGAATATAATTTAGAACCGCCACTTCATTGTCTTTGATTCCCACCCACACTCATGTGCAGTGATGTTTATATAATACGACAATTTTTTCCGAGAATATTGGTAATAACCAAGTACACAAGCATGAATGAAAAAACAAAAAATGGAATTCAAGATCCGAAAGAATAAAGGATGGTGGTAACATTGATTAAAAATTTGTCCAATCAAATAATTTATTCCCATGTCAAGAATTTATTTTCGTGACATTGGCACATCTGATCCTGTTGGATATCAATCTTGAAACAAGTTGCTCTAAGTGGCTCTCCTAGCACAACTAACATCTTGCAAAATTGTGAAAATACGTGTGTTTTTTTCAATTGGATGTTCACCCCTTGTGTGTTCAAAAAGTTCTATGAAAGTAAATCCTTTGGAAGATATGCTTGTTTATAAAATGTTAAAACTAGCAAATACTATATATTGTTCTAGACTGTTAAGCAAGGTCACGGATCCACCCTAAATTTGATAGATCTTAACAAGACTGAAAGGATTTTGAGAGATACCGATCATGGTTTGATTCTCGTAAGGATAAATTTTTCCACTTCTTTTGTTAACTTGGAGATAAGATTTTCTTTATTTCAGCTCGACAAACCTTCGTAGGTATGATAATCTACTCTAACCAGATATTTTCTCTTAACACCTGCAGATTCCATATATGCTAATTTAAGCATCAAGGTGCGTGTGCAAATATATATCACCGTTCACCAATTGAAGCTTATAGGAGCGAGGATCATAAAATAGAGGAGGCTAGAAGGTCGTCGTCTGGAGTCTGATTTGTACCATAGTCCATGGATACCAGGTAAGAACACCTATATTCATTTATGTAAATTTACAAACTAAATTTGAAAAAAATATTACATCATGAAGAGCCTTCCCAAATTTAGCAGTTGACACATTGATTCTCAAAATTACAAAATTCTCACTTTACTTCCTAACCATGTGTTGGATCAACATTAATATTATCTTAACATTAGTTGATCCCAACATGTGAGTAGTGTCTCTTAGACAAATTTGCGTAAGAAGGTTTTGACCGCCAATTCACATACATGCCAAGGGCCTATAATAGTTCATGACAAGCTAACAGAAAGGTGAAAACTTATCGTTAAGTAATAGTCATTAACTTATTTAATTATAAATTTTGGATAAAATTAACTGTTAAATCAGCCAATAGATGTAAAATAACATAAAAGGTGCAAGTTTTTATGATTTATTTTTATAAATTGTGTTTTTTATTTAAAAATATATTTTGAAGTAATTATAATTCTAAGTTATTTTATTAAATTATAACTTTTATCATTTTTCGTTTAAGGATCAATCTTTTTAAAAAAATAAAAGGGATAATAGTGTAATATTAAAAAAATAGCTCAAAAATAGTAAAAAACAAATAGCAATTTCCCAATCAAGAGGGAGTAAAGTAAAAGTTTTTATAAAGTATTAAGAAAAATGAAAAAAATAAGTTAAATGTTATAAATTGAACAATTATGCTTGAGAAAATGTTAGAAGTTTGGAAGAAAAAAAAATATTTATCTAATACTTGTATTTCAATTAAACAAATTTATAAATTATAAGCCAGTTGAAATGAATAAAATAAACGCAACTCAATACAAGTAGTTTTAAATATTAACATATCATTTTTCATTCTTGTGAACTATTATGTTCATTGTTAAACTTAGTTTTTAAAGACAAACTAATAAATTTATTTAAATAATATCAAATTTATATTGTAAAATAAGTTATTAAATAGAGAAAAAAACTTATAATTTATACTAGTAATAAATGGATCCTTTCTGTTAATAGTTTTCTCAATCTTTATACAAAGTTTTCAAACTCAAATTTATCTGTACATTGCTGTTTTCTTTCTTATTTTATTTGTTGTATCTGTACTTTTTAATAAGTCTTTTGTCTTCCTACACTATCGTTTCTCTATCTTTTGAAATAAGTATAAAAATAAAGAAATAACTAGAAATTTTCTAATAAATATTCTTAATTAAGACACAAAGTAAGGAATTAAAAATATTTTTATATATAAAAAATATTATTAAAAACAATTAAAATGCAAATATTTCTTTTTTAAAATACATTTTACTTTTTATTGCTTCAAATTAATTTTAAGATCTGATGTTGAAGTTTTCTTAAAAATTATGAATAGTAAAATTACCCAACTCTAACGTTACACTATTAAACGAAGGTATGAAAGCTTAGACATCTAACATTATAAAACAGAGAAACATTATTGCAGTTTAAGTCAATGGTGTAGCGGCATTGGATACTGGTTCATCCTTGTCGCTATATTAAGAGTTAGTGGAAAGGTCCAATATGCTGTTCCGCTGGTTCTCTTTGTTATCACTTCACTCCATTATTTTCAGATTCACACTTTCTCAGCGCAGTGGTCACTCTGTGTCTGAATGAAAATGAAATTGTCTGTTGTCCCTCCTCAAATCCTTTTCAGACTCCCCAACACAAACCATCCAACAACATTGTAATAGCCGTTACACTTTTGTCTTTTGTGTCAATATTTTCAAACCCAAGTCCATGCAAATTCCAACACTCTCTTCTCCTCACTGTCCTTCCTTCTAAATTCAACCTCTTCCCATTCGCAACCCAAATCCAAATGGGTTGCTGTTTCAGCACACCCAAGACCCAAAACCAAAACCAAATTCCAAACCAAAAACACCAAAATGCTCTGAAAATCCAGCAACCCCATGAACCACCCCCATATTTAGAAGAAGAATCTGTGAAAGAGGTGCTATCTGAGACCCCCATTCCCAAGTCCCTCCAAGTTCCAATTTTGATGCCAGAAACGAAGACCCAAATGCCTTCACTTCAAAACCCACCAGTGAAATTCGAAACAAAGGTTCCCATTCCCATAGAGGACCAAGTCTCCGAGGTAGTGTCTCAGCTTTCAGAAACATGCAGCATCAGCGAGAGCTTCTCAACCGCCACTACCACCACCGCCACAACCACCACCGCTACGGAGAAGAGAGAAGAAGACGAAGCAACCAGCAAACGTAGCAGAAGAGAGGGAGCAACGAATCATAAGTGGGATCGGTCTCCGTCTAGAAAGAGGCCTTACGTTGCCGATGGAAATTTCGCCACCGGGAGAGAACGGAGGGTCAAATCACCGGCGAGGAGGCCGGATCCCTCGCCGGAGAAGAAAATCAAGGGCGGTTCAAGGGTAGTTCGAGGTAGGGGATCTGGTCCCGTCGCGAATCGGAAGCTCAATGCGGGTTCCGCCGCGGTCCGGCGAGACCCCGGCGAGGGTTCCGGCCGGAGATCGAGGTCTCCGTCATGTGCCAGAGCGGTTGGCGGGACGAGCAAGGTGGGTGCCGGCGGTGGTCGGAAACAGGTTCTGCCGGAGAATGGGGTGGTGGAGAAGGAGAAGGAGAAAGAGAAGGAGAAAAGTGAGAGCGAAGAGGTTGTGGAGAAAAACGACGTCGTTTCGCCGGAGGAGTGCCTCGAGAACCCACATGTCTCCATGGAGTGCTTTATTTTTCTGTAGAAGCACGTTTTTCGAGCCTTTTGGAAATCTAGAAGCGATTTCACGTCGCGTAGCTTTCTTTTCAGTAGCTGTTTGTACTTTTGACTTTTTAATTGCTCTGTTAAAACGGTGAAAAGCCTTTTTTTGCTTTGCTATTTGTATTTTTGCGGGAGTCACTCCTTAATCACAATTTACTGTTGTAAATATTCATATGAAATGAGTCTCATATCTCTCTTCATTTTTACAAGTTTTTGTTATTATTACTTTTTAAGATTGGTACGAAGCATTCTACAAGTCGAGAATAGCTTCTTTTTTTCAATATTTCTTGTATTTTTTAGAGAAAATCTTGTGATTATGTTTTCAGTCTACTATATTTTATCAAATGTGTAATTAGAATACAAATAAAGTACAAAAATGAAAAAACAAAACTCATGTTAGTGCCCATATTGAAAGGGTTTACAAAAATATTGAAAGGATTTACTGTAACATTTCAAGCATTGGTTTTTAATTTTTCGTTGTGTCTCCATATAAAAATATTCTGCCACCAAAGTCTTTCTATCTACCTTTTAGCCAAAAGAAAGAACTGAGAAAATAAAAGAAACATCTTTACATTCAATTTTTTAAACTGTTTTTTTCCCTTCTTTTCAAATGTTTATTTATTTAAAAAATGTTAGCAACCAATTCTTTAAATGTTCTTTTTAATAAATTCTTTATTATTGATTAAAATTTATTGAAAATCATAAAATTATGAATAAAATTTTTTAAATTAGAAATGTAACATACTTAATGTTATAATTCTCAATAAAATTCAATTAATATTAATAAATATGTTAAAAGAATTGCATGTTGCTAGTGCTACTGTTTTATCAATGGATGGTGGATTTTTCTGGGGATGTGGCATAAAGCGATGGAAATGATCCTCGATCTCGGTGGGCAACTTGCCATCCATTTTTATAACTTCGATTTATAAAGATCTTTAATATTTATTTAATAATTTTTTTTTTAATTTTTAGTACATCACGTTATCTATCATATTTTTCTTTTTTATTTCTCTTTCTCAAAGTATAAACACCCGTTGGATTGTTTAATAAGCATATTCCTTTCTTGGTACTGCCGTGGATTGTCTTCTATTCGTAGGCAAGCGTGTAAATATAGCTTAGCTTGTGGCACAGTCACTTAGAAACAAAAAATCTTTTGCAATGTGACATTTTATAATAAAAAGTGAAACTTAAATATACGATTCAATTGTTTCTCGTTTTACGTTTTGCTTTTTGGAGATTTATAAATAAAAATAACTCTATTGAACAAGCTTCTAGTAAAACTGAGAACTTGACTCCAAGATAATGTGTGTCGAAGCTAATAAATTTCATCCAGAAGATACGCTGAACAAAAAAAATGTGTTACACCTATTTCAATTACATTTTTATAGAGCTGTGTTTCTCAGTGTTTACAAATAAAATATTAAGAATGAAATATCATAAACTGAATTTTCAACCCCACAAAAAGATTTAAGATGAGTAAACTCAACGCTGAGGCATGATTATTACCATTGATTCTTAATTCCCACACCACTGAACATATTTATATATAAAGCACAAAAAAGATGGAAACTTTTGTTGAGCTCTCTCATTTTGTCCATGCTAGAATATTTATTATGTTTTGTTAATCATTATGCCTCCAAAGGGAATGTTAATGATCTTTGAATCACGTTGACAAATCAAAAACCGCTAATTACTACTTAGCAGCTTGAGAACCAAGCAACTCAGCAGATAACTCAGAAAAAGCATTTCAGGATTCACTTTAGCAGAACTTCATGCTTTCCTAACAAAACTTCATTGGAAATTGCAATGCAAATGTGCAACTTATATGTACAAATATTTTACATGATCTCTTAGTAGCAGATCCATCTAAAAGGGAATATCAGCCTCAATGGACTGGGAAAGAGGTTTCAATTGTGTGGAAAAGAATGTCATTGTGCTGTTTACTGGATTCACAAACGTGTTCATTTATGATCCAAAGAATGCCCGTCATTGATGAGTCTCACTAGGGGGATTAATTTTACACACGGCTAAATAATATGAACTTGATTGTTGCCATTGATCAAAATGGAGGAACCATCCCATTTCTAGCTCCTTGTGATATATTATAGCGTGTTATTGATGCTAAAGGTGCATGGAAGTATGGCTTATGTGGGATGGGCAATGAGATGGGTTCTGGGGAACATGGTGCAGGAGTAGGAAGTGCAATGAATGTAGGAATCTGCTCACCAGGCATCAACACTAACACACCTCTTCCATAAATTGTCATCTAATTAAATTGAACAGAGATAAAAAATCAGTAGCTTACGTTAGAGTAAAACAAACGGACAAAAAACATGGGTGCAATTTCTTTAAGTATTTTTATACTGTGATCAAAATTAGAGTTTACCATAATAAAATAAGGGAATTTAATGTTGTCGTAACTTATTGCAGTAGCACTTTAATTTTAGCTGAAAAATAGTAGCAAAAGCACGTACAAAAGTGTATTTAAATTCTGTCCCAAACTATTCCATAGACTTTTGGTCTGGATCCTGGTGAATGGAGGTTGAGTAAACAAGCAATACATAAAAAAGACAATTAACCCTTGCTGCAAATAGCTTTTGATGGTTACTTATATAACAAATGTATACAATTTTCTTTTCTTTTTTTACAAATTAGAAAGAAATATGAAGAGAAAAGAGGGTAAAGGATGATAAGATGAATAATGTGAGATAGAGAAAAGTTTGTAGCAGTAGAAATTTGTTGTGAAAATAATATAACTCAAACACTAATGAATTACTTCAAAAAGGAAAAGGAAAGAACTGTGTAAGAAGTAAAAAAAAGCTGCATACAATGTGAGCAGTGCAAAGTAGCATACAATGTGAGCAGTGCAAAGTAAAGTATTGGACTATTCTTGTTAAGTAAGTTTAACTGGTAGATATCATTATATTCTACGTGTGCAAGCAGTAAGCACAGCCTTCAAAGGGAAATAAAGTGTTGCCACATGCAGAAGTTGCCATCACCAAAGGCAAGTCAATTTAATCGGAATACGAATATGATGATACAATCATCACGCCACCAAACTGGCCACTTTTTAAAGAAACTGAATCCAATCTTTAACCAGAAAGTATATCTGATATTTTCATCAAACATTGTAATGCAATCATCTGGTGGGTAGGTAATGGTTTATTGTGTATCAAGGTTGATTGCTAGAAAAGAAACTATTGTCCTATGTACACGAAGCAAAAAACAATACAATGTAGTGAGCAATAATCATCAGCAATAAAGAATCCTCCCCACAAAGCATAAATTGGACTATAATTTGCCCAATTTTATAGCAGAATTTATCTTGGAAGGAAAATATAAGGGGTTGTGGCCGTACCTAAAGTAAGGGGGAGTATTTTAACGAAGAAAAATTCTTCAATCTTAAGAATAAATTATGTTACAGAAGTTTGGTACAATTTCTTTGTTTCTTTGCTATAAGGCTATGCCATTTGAAAGGAAAACACATGCTACTAACATATAGCAGTGTCCATAAGACAAGCAAACTAGTATGAACAGACAAAAAACACACAAGCACATAAAATCAGGGTTACAAGGTTGCCGTAGGTAAATAAATTACAATTTATGATATATATTGTCTTCCAAAGATGTTTGAAACCTAAAAGCCATTTCGAACTCTTTCCAACAAAATTTTCAGGGCAAAAATATTAAGATAGGCTTAACTTTATCACTTGTTTGGTCTGCAAGCAGGTAACTTTATGGCCCATGCAAAGTAATGGAAAAAATCATAGTCAAAACTGCATTATTATAGATCAGCATGCTAGGAAAGTAAAAAGAGAGAAAAGAACTCACAATTTCACCATCAAAGTGAATAGTTACACCATAAGCAAATGAAATTAAAGGAAAAAAGAGCACCTTGGGTGATAGATTCTCGAGCTTTACTCCAATGTCCATTTGGTGCTCAAGATCCATTTGAACTGGAACACTGGGTTCATCTGATCTTTGCCTAAGAAACCTCTCAAAAATAGCCAAAAGAAGAAACATAGAAATAAGTATGGCAGTGGCAACAAACCCAAAAGACACTGCATTCACAGAGTCATCAAAATGCTTCCAATGCTCAGGTTTTTGGGTATCATTAAATGGTGCCACCGTTGGAGCCGTGGCTTCAGCACCCATCACTGCATAAACTTTGCAGTACCACTTGTACATTGCTCATACTTTCTCATTACCAATTGAAGACAGTGAGAGTAACCATTTTATTTTATTTTATTTTTAAAATTTTTTCACTATTATATGTGCACATGATGATGGAATTTGCAGTTACAGGACAAGAAATTGTTTGTCACTAGTCAGAGATTGTTTAGTGAAGGCCGCAGATTGGGTTCCCATGTCTATGATAGGAGTGAAATACAGGAGACAGAGAAATGATGAGACAGAAGGACATGACAAAGAAGTAAACAGCTGTTCTGACTCACTGGGGTATAGAGGGACAGCATAAACCGGGGGACTTATAAGGTTGATTGAAATTAATAAAAACAATTTCTTATTTCAAATTAATCTAAATCACACAATTACTTAGCTTCAGTAGAATTTGTGTGTGCTTAGTTTAATCTAATCTCCACTTGTTTGATATGAAATGTGTGAAAAGAAAATGGGGGCAATAAATGTTTCTTTCCTAACAACTTTAATTTTGGTTCTAACTACTTAATTTATTAAAGCTCTTCCATCACTTTACACATAATAGCATCTCTGTAAAAATAATATTTTAACATTGTTTTTTAAGATTAAATTTAATTTTTTAAAAGATTTTTATTAAAAGATATTTATTATATTAAAATTATAAGAAAAAATAAAATTATTAATTTTAAACACTTAACAAAATCAACCTAAGAAAATGATATTAGCATTTTTTACATAATGAAAAAACCTTCAACTTGTAATAGAACAATTTTCAAGATTATGAAGATGGTTTCAAATTTGTGTCAACATTTTAATAAATTCAGGATATAAAAAAGAATTGCATCAAAATTGTAACGTTGTTACCCAATTAATGTTACTTTTGAGATAGATAAATAAAGGCCTAACTGAGAATGTATTGATAAAAATATGATCATCATACATATTGTTACCTTAGCAATATTTATATATTATTATTAATAATTATACATTTGGAATTATCTTCAACAACTTTTAAAACCAACTATTTATAAAACAATTTCTTAACAAAAAAATTCTAAAGGATTAAATTAAAGTAAAATTAAATTTATAAGACTGAATTCAAATACAAACTACAATTATATTAAAAAAATTGAGTTATTCTTGGTAGAATATTAAGAATTTAAGTTATTTGGATAGAAAGGAAAATAATACCAATAACATGAATAACAAAAAAAGTTTATTTGAATTATTCGTCAATTTAATGTTTTTGTTTTCACTGAGTGTGTTAAACATAACAAGAATTGAGATGATAAACACACAGAATTGAATGTAGTGTTTGAAATTGAAATAATGGACCGAAAAGCTGAAATGAAAAAGAAAGAGTACAACTCAGACTGAGTTCACGTGCTGTGCCATTGATTTCTATGCTCAACATTTCACGGGCTATGCCCTATGCTTGCCCTCTTTCTCTTTTCACAAAATTTAAATGTATTATTATAAATATTTTTATTTTTAAATAAAGTTAGAATTTTATTTGTATATTAGTACAATATTTGATGTCCAAGTGTTAATATTTTTATATTAACATGTATTTTATAAATATTAAGATAAAATTTTAACTTAAAAAAATGCCAAGAGGTAAATACATTAGTGGACCTAATTAACTACTACTGCTACACTATTATTATTATCTTAGCCACACCCACACAGGTTTCCATTTCCAAACTTGAGGCTTCAATTTCGTTTGGAATTTTCTGCTCAAATTTAACTGCTTTAAACGTGTTGTTTTTTCCAAGGTTTGAAATGGTAAATTTGACACCAAAACAAAATGCTAAGTTTGGTATCACAAAATTATATACGTAATTACTAGATTATTATTTCCTTTTCAGAAAAAATCTCTACGTATTTGAAAATCAGCTAATTTTTTATCATTAACGAAAAAGAATCTTAATAGCCACAATCTTATAAAATTTTATATCAGGAGAAGCATTGCTGGAAAAAGTTGTGAGGACAATTCCGTACTCTGGTCCAACGTTGGCCTGGAGTTGTAAAATTGGGTTGTCTTCAGTGAAATGATTGACAGAAGGAACTACAATCTCGTTTCCATATGTAAATTTAGGAATTTTACCAATGAGAAAACAAGTACATGTCTTGCATTTTCCCAAGGTAAAAGAGGACCCATTATTCAGCATTCACCAAAAGCAAGCCAGTAACATCAATAATGACTTAAATTAGTATATGTTCATAGTAATTTTGATTATTAATCATTCTCGAAAAAAGTCATTATTTTTAGAAGATATTCATATCCAAACACACTTAAAATTTAATTATGCAGGTAGACCAAACGCCCCCAAAATCTGGAACACGCAAGTTATCAACAATATCTAGCAAGTTACGTTTTCTTCCTCATTTATTTTGGTCATTATTCTCTTTTTTTCTGTTCCATATAAAATATATTTTTCTCTTTTTTTGGTCGAAAATATATCTTACTCTTATCCGTTCTACAGATGCTTGAGCCCATGTCAAGCTTTGGACTCTTTGTCTTATTACTTTTGAGTGTTCGTTGAAGTTCAAGAGCAGAACAGGGCCTGAGGCCCAATTCCAATAGGTCAAGTGGTTAGCACCAAACCAAAGCAAGCCAGAACTTCCATTGAAAAGAAAATACAATAGTTGGTGACGTGACGATTTTATTGATTAAAACGTGACGTTAATAAACATGGATTGAAATTTATATATCTTATATATATATATATGTGTGAATTAGAAACCATGAATTTATTAAATAATATTTATACTTTTGGTAATAGATCTAGCACCTTCCTCTGATGCATACACTCGCTAATGGATTCAATTTCTTTGGTGTACCCATCAATGTTACTGTATGACCCATGACAATGCTAAATGGGCTTTCAATGTCATAATAGTGGCTTCCGTTGTGTTAGTAATGGCGCTCTCAGTGGACATGTTACGCATTGGACTTTACTGCATAAACATTTTCAATATGAAACCAGCTAGACAAGACGCAACACTCAAATCACTGTTGATATAGAAATAATGTTTACAGTTAACACCACGTTTTCCATTCACCTATAATTCAAGAAAAATGTGGTTGACCACAAAATTTTGATAATATAACTTTAATAAATTGATAAACAATAAAGTTTTATTGAAAAAAGTAGTTATTATGCTTTTATATCTTTAGTACAATCAATCTGTTCTTAATAATAAGATATGATTTTTAAACATTTAAATTCAGTCTTAAAGATCAAAATTAACAAAACCCATAATTCGATAGTATATGCAGTACATGAAAATCAAGCATCTCTGTATCGTGCACAAATCCTACTGGTAATTTGTGTATAAGAATCAAACAAAATCTTCTGAAAATATTTTCACAGCCGCAATATATTTAGTGCACGTTCTCTTCTGTGATTTGTGTATCAAAACGTTTTCTTTTTTCACAACAAAAATGGATGCTAACACTTTTGGTGAGCATCAAAGGTATCTCTCAATCGACAGTTGAAGACTGTTTGAGATGTCGAGACCTCTAAGTAAGTTTTACTTTTTTCAATAAAGTCTTTTTCATGCACATAATTAAGAATCAAATTCCTATTACTATGTATAAAGACCACAACTATTTATTTAACTCTTAGTGATGGGTGTTTTCAAGTGGAAATTTTATAGCTTCAAAATGACACATGACAAGATGAGTTGCCAAAAGTTAAGGAATTAAATGTCTTATTAGAGCAATGAGAGAAATTTAATATCTTTAAATTATTGAACAAACTATTTACATTACTTGATAAGTGAGTGTGACGACATGCATTGGTATTGCTTATCAAAACGTGTGATTACATGGTGACAAATTAGTATTATCATAATGTCTAATTTGATAGAATAACTCAATAATAGTAAACTACTAAGAAAGACGAATATAAACTTGGTAGGACATTAGATTATTTAATAAATACAAAAACTATCAATTAAAGTGTTAATCGTTTGAATACGAACGCGAAGCACGTACGTGTGCTAATTTTAAATGAACCTAGATAATTTCCTCAAAATAGTTTCCAAGTACACTTTTTAAATAATTAGAAATTACGGACCAACAAATCATGTTATTAGAGAGAAATGTGGCGCAATCAACACCCCATGTTGTGTTACTTGAACCTCTTAAGCGTGTGATTGTATTTTGTTGACCATCAATTTTAAGATTGAAGTTAAACTCTGATCTTTCTTGAAAATTACTCAAAGAGCTAGAGAAAATAGCCACTCAAGCTGGTCCTTGAGAGCCGAAGTTAGGGCGTCATTTACTTGAATTGAGATTACTGTTTGTTAATTATTAAATACTAAGAAAAAAAAATTAAACAACAAAACTAATTTATGAACCTAACAAATTATGCAAAAAAATAAGTTATTATAATGGCTAACAAAATCAACCAAACTACATTTGTTTCGTGTCTTTTTTTGTCAAGTTAAGGAGATTTGGAACAAAAAGGAACACGCACTAAAATTGATATTACAGAAATACAAATTATTTTAAAAATAAAAATACTCACAGCCAAAGTTTCCTACGAATATCAATTAAACTAGCACAATAATCCTACTTACAAATATGGGAAAAAAGAAGAAGAAGAAATTATACAAAGCATTCCCCAAAATTGAGATCTTCTTCTCTATCTAGCAATCCTTTGCTTACTTCAGTATTCTACAGGTATTTTAGCAGATTTAGAATTGAACTTCGCCCTAGAGCCTCCAAGCGGTAGTCACAGCAAAAGTAGTGACAAAGATGATGGAAATAAAATATCTTTGCAAACCTGTTTCACGGATCTTTTCTTGCAAATTTATAGAGAGATCACTCGAAGATAGATTGTTCTCTAACATTGGCGAAAGAGTTCCATCGTAATGAGTTATGGATGATAAGAATACAAATATAATCAGTGGTTGAATAAATTGACTGTTGAACTAAATATGAATTTATCAACATTTAAATATGAATTCAAAATATCTTATTATAATGTCTTTATCATGAAAAATAATCTATTATATAATTCCCATTAAATGAGTGAGATAATTAGCGATGAGGAGAACAAAAAAAAAGAAAGAAAGAAGAGAGCATAAACCTGGACTATATTACTATAATTATACGATATTTTATTTAGTTTTATCTAATTTGTGAAGCTAACATGTTGATGCTGGAGGCAAGTGGCCACATTGAGGAACATAATACAATTTCCATCTTTTAGCACTTTACGTGGTGATACTATTGTTAGCATGGTTATGCTGACTTGCTGGACACTTGCTTTTTCTTTACTTTTCTTCATTTCTCTCTTCATGTTTCCATCTTTCCAGTATAGATCCTACCAGCAGAACAAATCTGAAAACTATGCCTTCGATAACTAAAAGATGTGTAGTTGCACATGCGTTTCATCAAGAATCATCAAAATGGAAACTTCTAATGCCTAAACTAAATTTTGCCCATAAACTTGTTATTTGGTTCAAATAAGGGACAAAACAACAATTTTTTCTCCGAAAAATGGAACATGATTAAAATCATGTGGAGTTATCTGTATGAATGCCTGGATAGTAATCGATCCTGAAAGTGATCAAAATTTTTTCATTATAATTACACCAAATGTCTCTGGTGATTACCAAACTATTTCTCTACACTAAAATGTTCCCTATCAGAGTAACAGAATAATATCACATAGTTAAAATAAAATCAATACACAATATTTAACATAAAAAATTTCAATTGATAAAAATATTATAGGTAAGAATAAAAAAATATTTTCACTAAGTAAAAGAAAAGTTATAATATCTTTTTAAATTGAAGAAAAGAATAATTATATACTCCCTCTTATAAATAATAAAATACAGTCACTAAGAGAACTTCAATAAAAATTCAATATTTTTCTCTATTTTTTTTTACCTCAATGCACTGACTTGCTTGGTGTTTGGATGCAAGAAAATAAACTAATTACTTCAATATATATATATATATATATATATATATATATATATATAGGTAAGATTTTTGAGTTTCTACCATTTAATTCATCGAACTACAATTAGAGGCTTTTGCACTCCACCTTAAATTCATAGCCATATAGGATAGGAAATTCACCTCTTATAGATAGTAAAAATAGCTTCTTCTTTTTTTTTTTTTACTTTTGTCACAAAAGTAGTGACTTTACTACTTACTGTGTTCACATCAACTATGTTTGTTAACATAGTATTAGAATCCAAATTAGAGAAATCTTGAGAGGATCAGATGTGTATTATTATAGGTACAAAAATAACAAGTAATTACAATAACAATAAAAAAATTTAAATAATTAATTTAAGAGTATAAAGAAAAAAAGTTAAACATGTAATGAAAAATTCGAAATTTGAAAAAAGTGAGAGATTAAAAAAACAACATAGGAAAAAGTTATTTTTCAACTATATATGAATCAGGTGTTATCTCAGCCTAGAGTAAAAATTAGTCAATAAGTTAAATATAAAAGAAGATAGTTGAGCTAAAATATTGTAAAAAATATCTAGTCTTGGTATGGTCTCATTTCAAATATGGTGGTTCACAATAAATTGGAGGGAAGAGTGATCAGCTGCTCTTTGGTCCCTGGCCATTAGTAATGTAGTCTCCATATCATCCTTACATTATGGAAGAATATTTCTCTTTCTTTTTCTCGCCTTAAAATGATAACACCATTAATTCTTGTGGTCTATATCTATTGAATTGTACCATTCATAGATGAAGCTTCAGCAAATATCAGAGGTTTGTTGAGCCTTTTGAATAGGGGACATAAAATATAAGCTGTATATCAATAAAGGGATATTTCAACTTGTGGGCTCCTTTAGTTTTTCTCTTGCTATATTTGCCTCACTAAGTCAAGACCTCCACCAACATCACTATTATTTTCAGTAAGCCACCTCCTCATGCCTCAGCACCAACTAAATCCAATGGAACCACTTCTCAGTAGCAACAATGGCAATGGCAACAGTGACTATGATATCATAAGCTGGTTTGAAGATGTATCCAAGAACGCTGGTTCAGTTCAGACTCAGTTGCTGTGCTATATTCTGAAGCAGAACTATAAGGTGGAATATCTTAAGAAATGGTTAGGGAACTACAATATCCTAGAGATGGATGCATGTGCATTGGAATCCCTTTTCACTTCTGTGGTTCCCCTTGCCTCACATGCTGAATTTGAGCCATTTATCCAAAGGATTGCAGATGGGGACACAAGTCCTTTACTCACTCAACAACCCATAACCACTCTTTCCTTGAGGTGCCATCTATCACCTTTTAGCTAGTGTTATATTTCTTTCACTAATTGATTCCTTTCTCTTCACGTTCTGGGGGATAAAATTAAGATTCATTACATTGCTGAATTTTCTTTAATTTTATGGTCATGTTCACATAAATAGGAATCAGAATATAGAATATTAGTTGGAGGCCACATATGGCTCTCTCCATTTTATTCTCAGTTTTATTGGTTATAAATAGATATGTGCTGAATCCATGGTTGTTCTTTAGTCGTTATTGTTCGTGACAAGGTAATAGGTCCATAGGTGCTAGTATGAATTAACCAATATCAGTCCCTAAAAAAGTAATAAACCATGACAGTCGTCTTTTCATGCATTTTGATTATATTTATGGTAAAATGTACTGTTTCTTTCCGCTATATACGTGTGTGTATTTGTTGGGGTATAATATTTCCTTACCTTTTCTTGTGATATGGAAATGGAAGGATCCCCTGCCACTTTCTGATAACTTTTCTTTTTCTTTGAATATATATATATATTTTTTTCGTTTTGCAGTTCTGGAACCACAGAGGGGAGGCAAAAGTTTGTACCCTTTACCCGCCATAGTGCGAAAACCACACTTGAAATATTCACTTTAGCTGCAGCTTATAGATCAAGGTTTACCTTTCTACAATATATGCTTGTGTTCCTATAATATCCTATCTATATCCAATTGATATTTGCTTATTTTGAAGTACTTAAAAATTGGTCCTTGTCTTTTTCATTGTTTGCAGGGTTTATCCTATAAGGGAGGGTGGAAGGATTCTTGAATTCATATACAGCAGCAACCGGTTCAAAACCAAAGGAGGTTTAACAGTAGGAACAGCCACAACACACTACTATGCAAGTGAAGAATTCATAATCAAGCAGCATAAGACAAAGTCATTTACTTGTAGTCCTGAAGAAGTGATTTCTGGTGGAGACTATATGCAATCCACATACTGCCACCTCCTTCTTGGCCTTTTCTTCTCTGACCAAGTGGAGTTTATCACCTCAGCTTTTGTCTATAGCATAGTACAAGCCTTTTGCAGTTTTGAAGAACTTTGGAGTGAAATATGCAATGACATCAGAGATGGAACACTTAGTTCAAGGATCAAATCACCAAAAATGAGAAGGGCTGTTTTGGATATCATATCTCCAAACCCAAATTTGGGTTTGAAAATAGAAGCTGCTTGCCAGGTGCTACAAGTGGTGGATTGGTTTGGTTTGATTCCGAAGCTTTGGCCAAATGCTAAGTACGTTTATTCCATAATGACAGGGTCTATGCAACCTTATTTGAAAAAACTTAGGCATTATGCAAGTGGATTGCCTCTGGTTAGTGCTGATTATGGCTCAACTGAAAGCTGGATAGGGGTTAATGTGGATCCAAATTTGCCACCAGAAGATGTAACATTTGCTGTGGTGCCCACTTTCTCTTACTTTGAGTTCATACCACTTCATCGACATAAAAAATATCCAACTTCAGTTGCTGATGATTTCATAGAAGATAAGCCAATTCCACTATCTCAGATCAAAGTTGGACAAGAGTATGAAATAGTCCTCACTACGTGCACAGGTATTAAACTGTCTTCACTCTCTTCTACATCAATGCTCATTTTCTTGGACACCTCTTTTCTCAGTTTCATGGATCATGATTCACATTTGAGCTTTGACACATGCCATATTTAGATCCATGCAGCAACATCTTTTGACTTTTGTTTTTTAATAAATACCAAGTAAATGCCTTTAGCTAACCAATCTTTAAATTGTTCAGAATTAGACAAGCCCGTTTGACCCGTTGTCGTACATAAAATAACGCCTAGTGTATAACGTTGGTTAAAGAAAGTAGCAACGTTCTTGTGTTACATATGCAAACTTTAGCCCTCATGTTTACATGAACAGGGATCTGTCTACTAGCTACTTGCATCAGGCCAAAAAGTTTTGGCCGAATATCGCAGAACTTTAGGAAAGTTGGTTCAGAGATGTACAAAGCATGGATTTATGATTGATTGAAGAGAAATGCATACTGACAAATGGGTGAAAGACATCGAATATATGGACTCTAATGGTTGCTAATAATGGGCATCATTAATGGATGGCAGTGGGTATTTGTTTTAATAAAAAAATATTTTAAAATTTTGATTCAAATATAATTAAAAAACCTAAAAAATTATACTTAAGTTTTGGCTTTTCAAAAATGTAGTTTTAGAATTATAAAAAGAAGTGATGTTTTTAGGATAATTAAATTATTCTAAACATATTTAACTTTTTAATAATCTGATCATAATTGGCTTTAATGGATATAACTAGTTGAGATTAATTATTAAAATATTATATCACAAAAAGTTCTTTTCTAAAAATATCGTTTAAAAATAATCATGTCACCACGTAAACATAAACTCAGAATAGGAGGGCACCGACGACAAACAACCCACGTTTTGTATGTTGGGCACTCCTGTGACTTGGTTGCATTTCGTTACTTTCATTGATGTTAGTTACCCCATCATTTCAGACTTTTATTATGGAACAATTCTTGTATAAAGTGTTTATAGATATATAAATTGAAACTCAATATACATAAATACAACAATAAGGTAATTAATTTTGTTATTAGTAATTTGAAAGCTAAATAATAGTAATAATAATGATGATTTATGTTGATAATTTTCAGGACTATACAGGTGCAGGTTAGGGGATGTGGTGGAAGTGGCTGGCTTTCACAATGGGACCCCAAAATTGAACTTTGTATGCAGAAGAAAGCTAATACTGACAGTGAATATAGACAAAAACACAGAGAAGGACCTTCAACTAGTGGTGGAGAGGGGTTCTGAGCTTCTGAATGAGGCAAAAGCTGAGCTTGTTGATTTCACTAGTTATGCCAACGTGTCAAACGAACCAGGGCATTATGTAATTTACTGGGAGATAAAAGGGGAAGTTGAGGACAAGGTACTAGGCGCATGTTGCACTGAAATGGACAAGTGTTTTGCTGATCATGGCTACGTGGTGTCTAGAAAAACCAACTCAATAGGGCCCCTTCAGCTTTGCATTGTGGAGAGAGGGACTTTCAAGAAGATTTTGGACAATTTCATTGCAAATGGGGCAGCTTTGAGCCAATTCAAGACCCCGAGATGCACTAATAATCATACCCTCCTTAAAATTTTAAGTTCTTCCACCATTCAAAGGTTTCGTAGCACTGCATATGCCTCAAAGGAACAGTGATATGAATGTGGCCCGCTGTTATGTACCATTCTAACGTGCGATCGTACAAAGCCTTCTAAGAAAACTGTGTCTTAATGTTAGTCTACCATAATATACCTATTTTAATGGATGCTTCTATATAGTTGGAAGGAAAAAAAATTAATGATTTGCGAACTCAAATGTTAAATGAAAATAAAATTTCAAGATAAATTAAAAAAATTAACTTATCTTATTTTATTTAATAAAAATACTTAAGAATAAAAACAAAATTTAGAAACATTATCTAATTTTAAGTTGATAAATTATGTGAAATAAACTAAATGCTATAATTAATAATCATTGAAAAACTTATAATTGTTAATCTTTAAGCTTTTAAATAACTAAATATAGATAATTTTGTCACTTTATACCTATTAATTGATTCATTTGATTGAATAATTAGTTTTATTACACAATTTAATTAATTAAATTATCACCTTTTAACTAACTAATTCATTAGTTTTATCAAACACATGGCCTTTGAGAACATTTCTTGTATTTTAGCCCAAAGTTTAAATTGAAAATTTTTGACAAAGCGCCTCTCCTCAAGATTTTAATCTTTGCATAGCTAATGCCTTAGGTTTATGTACACTTGTTAAATTTTTTTAGCAAAAATATTAAATTGGTCCTCTAATTTTATATTATATTTTATTTTGATTTCTTAATTTTTAAAAAAAATCTTTTAGTTCTTTAATTTTTCGTGTTCTAAATAAATAATTTTTTTTACAAAAATATTAAACTATGTTGACTTATTTTTTATTATTAGTTATAAATGTTGTTCATGCACGTATTCATTCTTTCTTTGTTACTTCGTAGCCATGTTTTTCTTTCCTTCCAGCTCCTCCTCCTTCTTCTTGTCAGACTAAATATGAAATCAAGATGCACAATCAAATTAGGAACCACATCATGGTTGACCAAGTTTGCAGCTATACAACACATATTACAATATACCAACTACTGCCACCATGAAGCTTTGTTACATTAAATGGGGCAGGATACACATTTTAAGGAAAAGTAAGCTTGTTGTAATCTTGAGTTACAGCAAGAGGGATGTGTGTATTTTACTAAAAAAGTTCACATAATATAAGGCATTTATTACACTATTATCGGTTATTGAATTATTGGTTCTAAATTTTCAACAATATTTTTATTGATGTTATTTGATAAAAATATTAAAAGAAAAAAGAATATTGTTGTGTTGGTATTTGTCGTGTTGGTAAAGTCAAATAGGGTATTACAAAATTTAAGAAACGGGTGGGATTTGAAACCATTATATTGTCCATGCCAGCTCTTCTAAGCTTTTAACTAAAGCAACACCACGTTGAGCTTCCATGGACCATAAATATTTGAAAGAGAAAGTTCCCTAAATAACCAGATAAGATTATGAAAAGGACTGAGGTATGGTCACAAATGATGACAACTTTAACTCGTTCAGCAAACTTTGTCACTCTTGTATGTTAATTAATACATTATAAATTCCCCCTTCTATTTTATTTATAAAAATTAAAAATTAAATTATTATATTAAAAAATTAATTAATTCAATTACATTTTTTTATAAATATAAATCTTATTATAATATCAAATAATGTAATTGATATAGTTGTTCCCTCATAAATATATATTTAACAATAAAAGAATATATAAAAAATTAATACATCTTATATATATATATATAGTTGGGGGTTCAATTAAACTCATAAATAAATTAGAGTGACCGACGGTGGGAACAGAACAGATGGTCCAGCACTTGGGATTGTTCTTCAATTCTCTCGGTCAGATTCCCACGCGGAGTCAACTTATTAAATGTTTTATTTAAAATTTTAAGAGATATTTTTTTATGTTTCTTTCTGAAATATGCATACGAAGAGATATACAAATATTTATTTTTAATTATATAAGTAACAATATCAATCTATTAATTAAATCCATAAACTATTTGATAAATTCTGGGATAAATTATATTTGTACTTTTTTTTGGTGAATGGTGACATATATTGAAAAAAAAATAATACTAAATACATTTCATTACACATCTTAAATTATTCCAAAAACTAATACTATATATTTTTAAATGTTAATATAATATTTTATTTTATAGTGATCTATTCACACGCAATAAAAATTCCAATTTCATTTTATCTTTTTATATTTTCAAATTTATTTATTATTTTTGTACTATATCAAATTTTTCAACAGTTTTAAGTTAATTTTTTTATATTTACTTAATTCAATTTTAAGATTACTAATTACAGTTTTCATTCTGATTATAATATTTCTTTTACTATACTACAAATTTTAATGTAATGAGAAAAAAAGTCCAGCGGATGAATTAGGAAAATGTGAAATTATAAGGATACAAAATTGAATTAATCCTACAATTTAGCTTACAGATGGTTATTTTTATTTTCTATTTACTTGAATTATTATTTAATTTTTTTCATCTCTTTTTATATGTGGAGAGAGAGATAGAGAGAGATATGAAACATAAAATAAATCTGATTATTTATTGAAATTAATTATTAAACTTCCTAATTATTATTTATTAATTGATTCAAATAATATTAATATTTTATATGAATAAAAGAGTATTATTTAAATAATAATAATTAATATATACTCAGTTTTGATAAATTTTTAAAGAAATTTATATAAATGAAACAAATTAATATAATAAATAATTTTTTTCACGAGTTATAAATAACTTATCTTCTTAAATTTTATAAAAAATTAATGAATTTCTTTAAATAATAAAAAACATAATTTTATTTTAAATTTTATAAAAATAAATTTTTATTTTACTACTTTAATTTTAACTCTTATAATATTTATATATTGAAAAGTTTATTTAAATCGATTCATAGTTTTAAACTTTCTTTAGACAGATAAATAAGAATATAGGTGGTATTTATAAAAAAATAATTTAATTTTGTTTGTTTTTATAATTGTATATTAAATAATGACTTATATATACAGTGAAATCATGTTTCATTAAAAGCAACAATTGCTGGCAAACAATATTATTCTTGATCGTGAGTGACAATACGATAGTTTTTTTTAACAAGTATTTTTAAAAATGAAAAAATAATAATTTTATTCTTTAAGTTTAATTTACATTTCAGTTTTATTTTTTATTTTAATTGTATTTTAACTTTATATTTAGTTATAATGTATTTTTTATTCTAAAATGTGTTTCCTCACTTAACGAAAGCTTCAAAAGTGACATTTATGCTGATAATTCAGTCTTAGTTAGTAATAAAATATATCATAGTGTTATCATTGAGAGTAAATTAATGACTAAATTTAAGGTTTAAATAATTTTAAAAACTAAATAATGAAAAAACATAAAGTTTATTTTTCTCACTGGCAATTCCTTTGTTCTTTTTCTACTTTTTTAACTTTCGGTTCCAAATGGAAAAGTGTGAGAACATAGACCTTGGCCCATTTTCAACACTAAGAGTGGGCTTTATTGCCCCCAAAAATGGCTCTTATGTTGGCAACTCTCTTCTATTAGAAGGATGTATTTAGGAATAAAACTATTTTTATACGATAGTTAAACAAAAAAATTTGATTATAATTTATACATACCAACATTATGTATTATCAAATGCTAATCCTAAAATGGTTCAAACATGAAAAACCAAGATACTACTACTGTACGTGACGTTGGCGAAAACTTGTTTTCAAGTGTGATTGTCGATTATGACCATGATTGACCAATCACTAGCACTATAAAAAATTATTATTTATTAATAAATAAAATATTATCAAGTGTTAAAATATTTTTTATTTGATAAAAATTAAATTATTAGTAAAAACTTTAAAGATTTATACTGATAAATAATAAAAAATATTAACATTTGTACATGGATAGCACATTTTATGATGTGTACTAATAAATTTTTTTTAATATAATGTATCATAGTTTTGGTTTTATACTAACAATTTAATATTTATTAGAGAAAAATGCGTGCTAACGAAGGTTATTTCAATAAAAGGAAATGCACATAAGTAGCGTTATTAGAAACTAAAATGAAGCTATACAGGACAAATAAAATGCACAAGTGAAAGCATATACAAATTCTAAAATTAAATGTAGAAAATAACAAGAACAGACAAGGGTGAAATTGGAAAATAACTTGCACCAAAACATTTTCCAATTTAGCTCTAAATGACTCTTTACATCAAGAGATTTTTCTGTTTTGGGGTCAAATTTTGCTACCTTTTTTTCACCTATCTTATAATAGGTTGGGCCATAGGCCCAAATTGTTTTGAAATGTGCAATTTAAGCGGAGATTTTCCATAGTTCTCTCAGGAGACAGGGTGCAATTCTTACCAATGGCGAAGCTCGAAGAAATTAACGATTCGGCGGCAAAAATCAAGAAAAAGAGGAATCATGGGTCGACCGGATTCTTTGTTTTTGTTGATTACCTTTTTCTTTTGATTTTTCTGGGTTTTCTCTCCTTCATCATCTTTAAGATTGTCGACTTTTGATTCCTCAAACCACACAAACAACGTTTTTTTCCCGAACCAGGTATCCACCCCCAGAAGTTCTTTCAAATGCTCTCTTTGTCATTTTACACAATTATTATGAAATTTTAATGGTATTGATTAATGAATGGGAAGTTTCGATTCATTGGAAATTAGTGAATTCCATTATTGGTAATTTTATTGATTATGTTTTCTTATTAGTTTTCTACTCCCATGTTCTTATTATTGAATGAAATGAGTTGATCGAAGATTTTTAGGTTTCTGATTCCTTGTAGTTCACAGTTACATTCCAAGACTTTGAACGCATATGATGTTGTTACTGTCACTTTCCTTTCCTGGGTATGCTTTCTTTTGATTTACATCTCTACTTTGCTTCCTTTATTTGGCAGGATACTTGTCTGACATATGATCGTAACATCTAAAATATGATCAAATCAAGTACCCGGTTACAGCTCTAAAGTATTGTCAAAATCATCTAATTGTTTTAAATTCTTTTATATCTTTTACTAACATAAATCCTATTACGAGTGAGAAAAATACAAAAGTAATTATAGGAGAACCTATTATTAATTTTGTAGGTTCTGTTACATTTACTTTGTATCCTTTTTCTCTCATTACATGACGTTAGGTAATTAATTAATATGAGAGAACCCTATTCCTGTGTAATTCGTTAAGCTATATTTTATATCACATCTCACATGGGATGTAGTACCTCCTCTTAATGTAACTGTAATTTTGTCCCATAGAATATAGCATCTTTCAATGAGTTGAGAAGCTTTGTTCTGGAATTCCAAATTTGCACAATTCAATATTCGCTGCATGTTAATGTTACATTTGATCTGTTCTTACACTGGGTATCGACTAAAGTTATGTAACCATACCATTTTCTACGAGTATGATATGATCTATAATATAACCGTGACTATGATAAAGAAGGATGACACAAAAATTCATAGCAAAATAAATATAAGGGGTTGATTGCAGACTTGCAATGCAAACTGATTGTGACAGAAGCGTAATTTTACTTCTCAACATTGGAATGGGGGCTCCTTTTGAAAATGCTGAAATTTGTGGTCTCTGGATCAAAGGACAACTTACTCTGTGTCTCAATCTAGGGGAGGAGGGACCCGATTTGGAAGGAATAAAATGTCTTTTGATTAGCTTACTTAATATTCTGATTACTCCTTTCTTCTAAAATTAATTGTCATTTAGTACTGATATATATATAATTTGACTAATTATTATGATAGAAAATTAATTTTATTAAAATATTTATATTAAAAGTGTTAGAGTTATCATAGAGTTTAAGTGTTAATAAATTTTAAATTTATTTTGATCGTTAATTGGCAAAAATTATCCTATGTAAATAAGAGATTATTGAAAAAATAAATAAGTATATTTTTGCTATTATAAAATGAAAAATAATTTGAAATACCCAAAAAAAATTCAAATAACAACTAGAATAATTATAAATCTTTCAACCCTTTATTCCTACAAATCTTCTTAATTATTAAATGAAAAAAGTATTTGATATAATTTTTTAATGTAATAATAAATAAACATTTTCGTTTAATACTTATTTTATGAGACAGTAAAAATTAAGAGAATATAACAAAGCTTACATGAATTCAAATTGGTGCACAATTCATTGTATATTAAATCTATTTATAATTCAAACTCGATTACAAGATCTGTCGTTAAACAAACAAAACGAAGCTTAAGTAGTTTAAAATCAAAATCTTTTAAGACAAAAAAATTGAAAGAAAGTGATTTTTTAAGAAAATTAAGCAAATCTGAAAATGCAAAGATTGAGTTTGAGTATGTATATTTTCTGCTTCTACTTTCTCATTGGTGGAATCGGGGACTCAACTATTATTTTGCATGTGATAGACGTGTGGTAGTATTCACTTGATGATAGCACACCTACCATGTTTTTATGTACTGAACTTCTGTCTTTCCGTATGATGTGAGATGTTGAGGAAAATAAATGAATTTGTTCTCCTACAGCTCAGGTTTTTGTTCTCTGTTCAGTATATGAATCAAGGTTGATTTGAAAGTGTGAAAATGAAGGGTGAGATCTGCGATTTGTGTTCACTGTTCAGCTTCAAGGGAATATATATCTTGTCCCAGTAATTGATATCAGTTTGTGCTCTTGTCAATGTCAACCTTTGTTCATTGTGGTTTGTTACTTAAATGCGAACTCTGCATTAATTTACCATGTGCTGAATGGCCCCATATTCATCAATGAACTTCACATTACGCATATGAGTTCACGAGAAAGGATAGCATAGTACTGATCAACACATTCTTTTGAATATATTTTTTATTATTATTAAAATTTATTAAAAATTATAAAATTATAAAAGTATGTAAGTTTTATTTTTTAATTTTAAAATTCTCATTTATATTTTATAATTTTTAATAAATTTGAATTAACGCGTAAAAGTGCATTAAAAGAATATATTTTAAAGTGTATTTTTAGCTCCTTAAACTCTATATTCTTGTTTTTATAAAAGATAATCATCCATTGACACCCCATGCTAAGCTATCCCACTAATAGACAAATATAGAAAATTATGCATGGAAGAGCATATCAAGAGAGATTGAGAGAAATAAAATCGAATGTGAAGAGGGTCTCAAAAAATTGTAACCCTTTAGAAATTTAACACTCTTCTGCCCACCGATTATTTTGGAGGGCTCATAAACATCAGTAACTACTTTGAAAGCAAACAACTTAACATTATACTTAACTCATTTTAAACAAAACTACAAGGAAACAACTGAAAGACTTAGCACTCCACAGTGATCACCAAACCAAAGTAGCATGCGACTGTGTACATGGAGCACACTTATTTAAAGCTCTAATGATTAGGAAGCAGAAAAAGGCTATCTTTAGCATAACATGCTCACAAACTACCCCTAGCCATGCATGCATTACAATCATGCATGCGTGAGTGAACTCATGGATGAACTGCTCCTGGAACTCTACCACCACTGCCAGGAATTGGAACTTCAAAACCTGGGTTTGGTACATAAGTGTCATCACCACCTGGAACATAACTGCGACCTGTCGATCCTGTTCCTGTTCTTGCCCCTCCATTGCCTCCAGTAAATGGATTTTGAGGTGTAATATGATATTTAGGTGGAAATCCTACACGTCCAATTCCAGGAATATGCACCCTTCCATCAGATTTGAACAACCATTGAGGTTCTTTCTTGTCCTGGTTGTTGGAGTTCTTGGCAATGCTGCGTCCAGCAATTGTTGTGACAAGGAGGATATTGGAAATGAGGACAAGTGCAAGGAAAGTGGAAGCTCTATAAGCCATTCTCAGATAAGAAAAGTGTTGATCAACGAGGATGTATATTAGTGATGCCTTTGATTTGGTTTTTCACTTTTGTGTTGAAGCATGAAGGGAGTGGATGCATTATTATACAGTTTCAGGTCACTGCAGTGTTGAGTGAACTTTGGCGGTGAGTAAAGTGTTCCTTGATCTAAAGGGGGTAGTTGATATTTGTTCAGCCTCAGTTTTATTAGTTACTATTTGTGGAAGATGGTCACCAATGTCATACGGCCACTAAATGGGGCCTTCGCATGGTTGATTTATATATGCACCGTAATAGGTAGAAAACTTAGGAAATTGGAATTGCTTCTGGCTGCATATTTTTTTTGTTATCTTTATTTTTACTCGAACCATAGTTGTGATGACAATGCTTAGATATTGGTAAATAAAAGTTTGACAACAAATTAAAGAATAGAAATAAGAGCTATAAATTTAAATTGTCAAATTCTTTTAGATAAACAAGTTATTCAAGGATTTATTATCTCTTTCAATCTTGAACTAGTTCTACATCCAAATTCTAATAGACACTTTCTTTTGGCCTCTTCATAGCCTTGGGAAACTGCGAAAGGGAATAATCAATTGAGTTTTTTGTGAGTAGAACTGTTGACTATTGAATTGGTTCAAATTTTCTATATCTATTCTGATTAGGGAGTTAATGTTATATGACATCAAAAGCTAAATATCATTTCAATTCTTAAAATTATCCTGCGGAGAATCCATATGTTTCTTATGTGTATTTTAATAGTAAAAAAAATAATTTTAATTAATTTTTAAATCATATCTTTTTTTTTAAATCTTGTATTATATTTAACATTTTGTAATTATTATTCATAACTCCTCTCATATTTAATTCTTTATTTAATAATTTTTATTATTACTTTTACATTCTTTAAAATTCCACTTTCAAACACAACGTTAGGTTTTGGATGGAAGTAAAATCTATTTAAAGAAAAATTTCTATAAAAATTTTTGGTTTGCTACTAGCATTACTTTTGAATTATTTAGTTTAAAGAATATATTTACACCGGCATGTAGAAAGATTATCAATACATTTGTACGAGTGACGAATTGTAATAAATGATTAAAAAGGGAAAACAAGTTTACCACAATACGAGATTTTCTTACATTGTTTGGGTGTAAGATGAATTATTAATTAACGAGGTTATTTTTTTTTAGGGTTGTGACTTCAAGGTTAAATAGTTGGTTTTGTTTACACTCTCTAATTGCCTAAGCTGTTCAAAAACTACTGAATAATCTTAAAAAGTATATAAAACACTACTTGAAGAACTGGACTCTAATACTACTTCTAGTATAAACTTTTTTACTGTATTTTCATATTAGTATGATATTATTTTATAGAGATCTATCATACTTATATACTTTAATTTTTCTCAATTTTAGTCTATGTGAGACTTTATTTGTCCATTCCATCAGAAAATAAATCATGAAATTAGATTCTACAACACTACTTGAAATCTTTGTGTGGTTGAAGATTATAAAATGTTATTAAAAATAAGTTCATTTTCTCAAACTTTTTATAAAACTTATTAACCTTGCCTATATTTTTTTCATCTTAAAAAAATGCCCACCACACACAGATTGTCAAGATTTACAATTACTTAGTTTAGAAAAAGAAAAGATTCCCACTTTATAGTACGACGCAAACGGTAATATTTTTGTACCACTTAAATTTAGGAGTATCTTTTATAAAATTAAGATACATTTTTGGAATATATGTATGCAAAAATAATTTATTAATCTCAATTTTAAATATATCTAAATAATAAAATCTTATTAAAAATAAGATTTATTTTGTTTTTATATATTTTAATATAATATTAAAATAAATAAAAAGAATAATATACAATATTACGTAATATTAACTTTTAATAATTTAAATAACAAAATTACCAGAAAAATGCCTCTTTAACTATATATATATATATATATATATATATAATGCAAGATAGCTCTAAAATATATGAGAATAAATTTTTTTTTTTAAAAAAAAAATGACACAACTTTGAACCATTAAAAATTTTGAAAATATTATTTTTAAAATAAAATTACATTATAAAGATTTTAATGGTCAAATAAAAAAATGGAGAAGATGAAAACTCAGTGTAAGCAAAACGTAAGCAAGGACATGATAGAATGTAAGGAAAATATGCAGGAATAGCTTTTTGGCAGAGGAAAAAGCGTAAATGTATATGATTGGAGTTGGATAGATCACATCACAAATAATGGCAGAATCTGAATAAGGTGATGAGTTGAAGTTCAACATGACAGGTCGCGCTCATGCTTAAACCTCGCTGTCGGAATTGATGCCATTGCCAGTCCAAATGCTTGCATTGTAAGCGTGCACAATTTTAGATAAACTCTTTATTCTTCATTTTATTATACTTATATATTAATTTCTAGAAAAACAAAGTAATCCTTGATAAAACGTAGTATACTTGAAAATCAAGATTCGTTTATGACATTTGGAAAGATTAATCTAATTACTCAAAATTTCCACGGAAAAAGAAAGGAAGAAAGGAAACGTTACTTTTACGTTAATCTCTCCCAGTTGCGACCATGGTGCAGCTTTTTTGGGTCAGTCATCATTGATCATGGTTCAATGTATGTACCTTTCAATCATAACTCCTTAAGGTTGCTTCAATAATTAATTGGCAATCATAACTCTAAGGTTGCCTCAATAATTAATTGGCAATAAACAATGATCTTAGTATTAGCTGGCAACGTCAAATATCAGCCTAAATCCTGTTAATCTGATACCATCTTTAACCAATATTTGCTGGAATATCTTAGACTTCGGGCAAGAATATCTGAAAATCGATCGCTATTTACGCCTTGCATTATGCTGAAAACAGTCACTTTTTGTGACCTTGATTAAAAGCGTTTTCTAAAAAATTTGTATCTTCTCATGCTATAATATGATACGGTTCAATTCTTATCAAATGAAAATTTGGGTATTGTATAACCTGTTACTTAAATTTGAACAAAATTGTCTTCTCTATCCAACATGACCATCATTTGAAGTGTAACCTATAATAAATTTTGCTCTGCCTGATGAAAAAATATTGCAGCGATAAATTTCTACTTTCTACAAATTCGATTTTAACCCTAGCACAAACAGGCACCATTTCATGGTCGTAGAAGAGGATTGAAATCCTTTATCCACAATTAATTAGCCAAACCAAAGAGCATCAAAATGATACCACTTGCATGAAAATTTTCTTTTCTTGAATTCACTATTGCAAGGCATTACAATAAGCAGTCCCCAAGAAACCAACTAAAATCAAGACTTAGGCCTTTCCTCAGAAAATCTAGGAAGTTGGACAAGTGAGTTTACACGGGTGACACCTTCCAAACCTGACCAGTTTTGATCATCAGCTGATGATGTTCCATCTTCAACATCAACAGATATTGCTCCAATAGTCTCATTTTCTTCAGAGGATCTCACAGTGAAGTTCCTTTGCAAAGATGGCTCAGACTTTTGTCCATCATCTGATTCAATTGGGTTACCCGAATGGTTGCTTTGGATGGTTGCAGATGAAAAGCCTTGTTCATCATAGTCAGATTCTGAGTCCATTTTCCCATCCAAAAATAAGCACACTACAGCACAGTCATCCATCTTTGAAGTAGGGTACTTAAGTTTCCACTCCCTAGCAGCAGAATCTACCAGAATCCTTGCCGCTGATGCCCGTGTTGGTGCTGAAGATACTATCTCCACCACCTCCTCATTGCTTAAGACATCCCACACCTGCACAAAACAAGAGAATCAGTTACCCATCAAGGGAAGATGGAAGCTTTCAGGTTAACATATACTTCCGGCATGTGGTTAAGATCGAGAGAAGTAAATCATGGGTAAAAGAATCGAAGTCTATGCTCCTCATGTTATTACAAATTCATTATAGGTCCTACTCAGTAAGTTAATTCCTGCAGAAAAGACAGACTTGAGGAGCTTGAAAGTCAATAATATGGTGCTATATCAATCTCATCTAGTCATGCAATTTAATTGTGTTGAAGTTATGCTATAGTTACTGAGGAGTATCAAACCATGCAGTTGTTTCAAAATTCTACTTAGGCAATGCAGCTTTGTATCCTCACCAAATTGACTAGGTAACAGTAGTTTTCCTTGCAATATCTTGTACATTTCAAAATGTCTGTTATTCTAATATGTGTAGGCTAGTTAAAGTGCCACTGCCGGAAGTCTGAAGAGTTTTAATATTAACTATTTGTTTTTTTGCCGATTACATGGAAGACCATTTATATGCAGAGAAAATGTTTCTCCATAGGTTGGTTATAAATGACTTAAACCTAGTTACTTAAAAACCCTGATGCCTCTCACACAGACCTAGACGTGACAGAATTATGCATTATGAAATGTGTAGTAAATAACTCGTGTACCAATTTGTTAATGTTGAAAAATTTATCCCACATATGAAAAGAACACAATAACAACTAAGTCTTTTCCCAGCAGATGGGTAAACGAAAAGAACATGCATGTATGTTGCAATCCAAAGAGTGGTCCTTTGATGATCCATTGCTTATATTCAAGTCACAAAAAATCAGATATCAGCATGTCAATCTTACAATATAGCCAAACCAGGCAAAGGCATGTTTATCAACATTCCTAAGATTCCATTCAGTCACATTCAAGTAAAAAAAAAATTTCAACTGCCCACCCTCAAAGATTAAATAAAGAGAAGAATGAGAAAAGCAGGAAAAATGAATTGAAACCAGAAAATTATTCTCAGTTTGGCTAGTTCTTTGTTTCTTCATATTAATGAAAGTTTAACACTTCAAACACACTACTTTTCAAAATATAGATTTTGAGTCATCAAGAGGCTAGCTAATTCAACAGATACTATTCTGCTTATTGACAACCAGAAAGACAAGCTATTAGTTCTGTCAGTAATGTTAAAAATTCTAGCCTACTCAATGGCTGGCTTCACTTCTCAGTTACATTTTTATCCCCATATGGTTAATGCTATGCCACAATTCGTTAATAATATAAACATTTTCCTTCATTAATCAAAATTTCTTCTGTTACTATCACACACAGCTTGACCTGGTATGTCCATTTCTTCATGGGAGGCAACATCATTTTAACCAATGAAAACTAACTTCAAAATTGCAGATCGTATATGTTCAAATTTCTTAGTCACACAGGGAGAAGTAATAAAACAACTTCCAAATGCTTGTACAGATTGAAATGATTTGGAAGTTCTTACGCCATCTGAGGCAAGAACAATGAACTGATCTCTGTCTGTTAGCAACCGGTGAGAAAATTCAGGTATAGAAATCACACCATATTCCTTCAAGCAGAAATCTCCAAATGCTCTAGCCATTGCCAATCCTGGTGCATCATCAAATGGCAACCATACCCTAGGCACTTCTGGCTCATCTTGCAAAGCAAATACCCTACCTTTGCACCGCTTAATTCTTTCTGCTTCCCCTATAAAAAATTTCAACCAAATTGGAGTTCAGTTAACATCAAGAGTAAAGCGTACATTCAACAGAGAGAATAAATGATGATGGGATATGACACACTTGGCAAATCAGGCTTCAAATCAACAGTCAACTGAATGGCCACCATTGAGTCATTGCTATCCTTGGATCCCATGATTGCTCGAGAATCACCAATATTGCCCATGAACAGATTTGAACCCTGGTAAGATACAAAATTAAGAAACAATAAAAGAATGGAACACGAGTAGATGCTTCTCTTTTACTACCTGCTTCACTATAGTCACAGCTGTGCTCCCGCTGCAGAAACAGTCCAGATTTGGATGAGACCTGAGCTCTTTGTCCATAGCCTTGTATGCCTTCATGAAAGCTTCTCTCCATGTAGTGTTCAGTTTATCCTCGGTAGAGCAATCCTTCTCAGAGTCTCCATTATCAGGTTTTACATTCCCTTTGAAGCAAGCTTTACCTGACCCATTTCGCTTTGATTCACCAGCATGCAAAAATGAAAGTAATTTTATTGGTAAGGCATCCCTCACTTTGCGTGCAACAAGATGACCCTGTGGACCGTGGCCATCGAAGACACCACAAAAGATCATATCTTCAGACATAAAATCCTGCACAAATACAGATCCAAATTAGAGTAATGTTAATGTCTAAAATCAACCAAGTTTCCCTCCAGCCAATGTTAATGTCATGCATCATCACCAACAAGATGAACATACTCACTTCCCACACAATCATGGCATCCTGATTAATACCCTTGCGGCCCTGCTGCGTGAATATGCAAGAAGCCCGGCTCTTTCCATTGGTGAAAATTCTACTAGGTAAGGATGGTAAATGGTGCAGAGAAATAACATGATCAGAGAATGTTCTCCTTGTTCTCTTTTGCCTACAGCATCCAATTTCTAAGCTAGATGGAGACACCACATCTCCATTGCTCCTGCTGCTACAAGTACTCCTACTGCTTGTTGAGACACAACAACCCATTTGCTCAGCTCCAGAATGCAGACATCTGATGCAAAATAAGGTCAAGTTGTTTCTTTTTCCATTGTAGATCTCATATCAGTTGCTGAGATAGCAAGTCTGGTCAACTTAGCACACAATCAATATTCCAAATATTCTCTCAGCTCAGAGCAGAAGTCACTTTACAACTCATTTTGAAAAATGGGGTCTTTTCATCATAGTCAAATGCAAAATCTGCCAGAAGCTACTTTAATGGATAACGAAACCAGCTGAACACAAGAAAACAGGTGACTGCAATAGTTAATGTAGTGTCTGAAAAATCCAGTCTTTGCAACATGTAATATTTTTGGAAAAAGTTAAAAAAAGCCAAGAAAAACAAGTTACTAATAAAAAAAATCCCAAACATGTGAACAAGGAATAGAATATACTAAAAACCTGTCTGAACATTGACAGCATCAAAATGGAGACTTTGAAATAATTTAATCCAGAAACTGCGCATTAAAAACTGAACCAAACAAGAACACAAAACCATGACACAAGAGACCATGTCCCATTTTCATGTTTCAATCGGGTCCAGACCCAAAATTTCTGTCTTTTTCTTTCCACTAAACATAGATCTTCTTAAGATCAAATAATATGAAGGCCAGCCAATTGCACGCCACAACACACGACATACTTCCTCAAATTCAAAACAACCCCAAACTAAACAAATGAAAAAGACGAGTAGTAGGAGAAACAAGGAAGAACATGATTTAAAAACGAAAAAATTTTAGACTTAAAACATCAAAAGCCTAAGAAATAAAAAAAGAATATATAACAGAGTAGAGAAATAGAAAAACACAATTAATGTGCATGGACTCAAATCTTAAAGAGATCAAAATCAGAATGGGAATGAATACATTAAAGAAAAAGCACGTAGTTACAAAATATCATTTTCCATGCCCTTTTCCTCATTTACCTCTGCAACTCCAGAGAGCAAAAATGTTGTTAAGTGTAGAAATAGAGAGAGAGAGAGAGAGAGAGAGAGAGAGAGTATAAAGCAAGAAAATGAGTACAAACTACAAAAAGTCTGGTTTCCCACTACACAGAAATACGAGAAGAGATAAAGTGAAAAACTCAAAAGCAGAAAAAGACGAAAGAGACTATAATCCCGTCAACAAAGAATCAAAGAGACACCAAAATATATATATATAGGAAATCAAGTAAACCTTACGTAATTATCATAACCCGAAAAACAGAAAATAAAAATTCAATAGTAAAATCAACAAATGACCAAGTAGATTGACCTCATAAAAAAAAAAGTATCAAACCAACCAAAATAAAAATAGCATAAGAAATCAGGAAAATGTGAGTAGGAAAGAGATGAAGAAAAAAAAATTAAAAATTTTTAAAAATAAAATATTTTCTATCTGACACGACACCACCGAAAGGGAAAAGGAATAGAGAAACTCCCAAGAAACTGAACAAAATTACACATGTAGAAACATTCACAACACAATGAGTCAAAGTAAGTTAGAAAGCTAAAAATCACATAACAAAAAAAAACAGGCTTGGATGATCTGTGTTCTTAAATGCTGAGCCAGAAGACAGAACCTAAAACCAAAAAGGTAAAAGCACAAAAGCAAAATCATCAGAAACCAGAGAAAAACAGGCATGCAGAGATGTAGATCCTCCATTGCCAAATGTACAAAGCAAGTAGACAAATACACTCGTACCCACTTGGTTTTAGATGAAGGTAAAGAGAGAAAAATGGTAACTTTAACACTACAAAAGTGGGAAAATGGTAGAAGCATTGGATCATTACCCTTCATAGAATGCAGAAATTAAGGTTGGGGAACAGAGACGAACATGGTTGGAGTGAGAGGAAGAAGAGAAAGAGAGTGAGAAGGAAGAGTGTTTGAGTATTAATAGAGAAAGGTAGCGTGGATGGGAGTGATGGTGATGCATTCATTGCAAAAGCAGAGTCGACAGAGTAGAAAGAGAAAGAGGGTAAAGGTCTAAAGGTAAGGATGAGGTCAAAAAGAGAAAATAAACTTGTTAAAATAGTAAAAAATGAATCTGGGTACAGAATAAATTATTAAATTAAAACACTTATAATAAATATACATAGTGGAAAATTATATATAACAAATTTTTATTAAAAAATTATAAATAAAAAAAATTAACATAGATTTTTAAAAATAATAAAAACATATTAAACATTAAAAATTTATAATATTTAATAATATTATAAATTTAATACATTCAATGTTATGATTTTTTTTAAAACTTATCGCATGTAAGTTTTTATTATATATTCCATGAATTAAAAGATAATTATATAATCAAATTTAATATATTAATATTAAATATTAAGTAGTATTTATTATTAATTAAAATTATGATAATTTTATATTTTGGTTTAATAAAAAATTTTCATAATTTAAATTTTTTTATAATTTTAACCACTAATAAAATATATTAATAATACTCTTATTTTAAAGATTTAAATACATTTTTTTAATCTCTGAACCAATTTTAATTTGATCTTTACGTGAAAACAATTTGTCCATTAGCTAAAATTATTTTTATATGTCAAACAGAAATTCAGCATATAACTTTGTCCCTGTACATAAATGATGCACATGCTGTTAAGTAGTGTTTAACACTTAATGTTAACATATTTTAACTCTAAAAATAGCTGGATAAACTTTTTAAAATATGATATTTAATCCATACCATTATATAAGATTTCCTACATTTTTTATTCACACAAACCTTTTCATTTTTTGTAGGACTATTATTTGAGAAATTGGCAGTTTTATTAAGAGAAAAATTAACGACAAGACTTTTTATTTGGACATTGATATAAGATCTTCATACTGCTGATGATTCTTCTGTTCCTCCGAGGTTTGCAGAAAATTAGAGTAATTACATTAATTAGAAGCTTTTATTCGTATGAGTGGCAGGATATCTTCAACTGAATGTATATTATGTCATATTACTTTTGTGTAGATGTGATCATCAATATTATACCTTGAAGAGATTGACTTAAAACTGTCCCATTTTGAATTATCATTGAAGAAGGATATCAAATAATCTTAGTACGAATAGGAAAAAAATAATAACAGGTAATATTTTAAAATTTAAGTTTAGTTTTTTAAAAAATTATCTTTAACTCTGATATTATATTAGCATTTTAATTTTAAGTATTTTAAATGCGTTAAGCAATTTAAACTCGTGACTCTTTTATTTATATACCACGTTAATACCTCAATAAATTTAGAAGAAATAAAATTAGGCATGCAAAATTGTTACGTGAATCGTATATAGAATTATTTTTCTTTTTATCATCCATACTAATTCATTAATAAGATTACAAAGAAGTACTCAACAATACATCGTGGAGAAGTGATCCAATGACACATCAAAATTACAAAAGCAAAAAACCCCAATCTGTGCATGTCAGCTCCTCGATCACCATAGCATCCATAATATCAGAATTTGAGTCTAGTATTCCATCTCACTAGCTGCATTAGCACTTGACAGTGATCATCAGCTTTTTCAGCTTGCAATGACAGTATTAGGCATGTTTACAAAAGTTTATGAAAATAATTTATAATTTTTATAAGTTATTTTTACCTTATTTTAAAAACCTTTATAATTAAATATATAGTATAAACTTTCATGTAATAAGATTTTATTAAATAAAAAAATATTTGATTAAACTGTATTTTCAAACACATTCTTAAAAGCCAGCTTCATTCTTGAATGTCTCCATTATAATATACACATCATCCTGTAGCAAAAAACTGTTTAAATCAGAAAAGATTTAAACAAAGTGCATGGTTTGTAATCCAATTAGGTATTGAGGAAGTAAAACCCTGAGACTTTGCCTTTAGGACCAATATAACTCAGCTGTACTAAAGTTTTTGTCTTAACTGCAAAGTGAGTTACATGCAGATCTGTGCTTTATGGTTTTGTCAAGAGGTATCCTTTGTTTCTTACATTCAAACGTAGCAACAACTGCTAAAGTACCATGTTTCAATTTTTGTTTCAACTTGTATACATAGTTTGGTACAAGTGGGAACTATTGGACTAGGACCATCAGGTTTGGAGACCACCACCACTAGTTTATGATATCATCCATTTTGGCCATAGTAATTAACATGCATGAGTACTGCCATGGCACATGCTGGTTTATTCATTTTTCAAAAGAAACTTACAGTTAAAATACCATTTACTATCTTTAAAGGTTATGAGAGCAAGTGGACAAAATGTTCAGAGTTCAAAATAAAGTGTGATGTGTCCCCCCTTATACTATGCTAGGATAGCATGAATTAACAAGGAAGAAAAGAGAGGCAGAAAAAAAGAGAGGAATGAGATAAATTACAATTATATTCATAATCATACACTCTAAATTATCTCTACATTTTAATTTATATATATTTTTTAATCTTTCTTCTTTATCACATTACTAATTATATCTTTCTTTTTTGTATCTATTTATACCTCAGTTATTTTCATCTCTTACACCAAAAAAATTTAAGTGTACAATCATCTGTATCTTTTGTCAATTTCATTCCATTCATGCACTTTATTTATTCTTTTTAAATTTTTCTGAGGGCCCCCGGGTGGGGCAGAAAACAATAGTTTCCATGAGGAATATGGTCCACATGCTTCTGGTTGTTGTTATTATTATTATTATTATTATTTTAATCTGAAGGTGTTGTGGTATTTTATAAGCTAGGTGTGAGATTAGTTTTCAGCCAGATACCTACTTAGTCAAAAATTATTTTTCTGCTGTTCATATAAAGAAAGGCTGATACATCGTATGCCAGTATGTTATTTCCACATTAAGTAAACATAATGTTCGTTTGGAAGAGAAAAAGGGAAAGTTTCATATGATTTTTTTAATTGCATAGATATTTTCTATAGCTAGGGGTTACCCCTTTATGTATCGTTTCATTTTTTAATTCCACAGGGGTTACTACTTTCATGGTATTAGATTTTTGTTTTACTATTTATGATCTCTTCTCATAACTCTTATATGTAATAGAAGAGAATAAATGAAATGACAAGTATTATAACGACGAAACATCAAATCGGATACTGCGGTTTAAGAAAAAAAACATATAGAATAATTATAACGTGGAATGGAATAGTCTTTTTTTTTATTATTATTCAGATCTCCTCAACAGAAATTTCTTGAAATTTTACAGCATACTAATACAGAGATAATTATAAATACACAATAAAATTTAAAAAAATTATTAATTTACAAGTATTTGTAAAATTTTATTTGAATAATAAAACTATAATTAAATATAAAAAATACTAATTTTATATTTCTTTACTTTGACAATTTTTTAAAAAAATCAATTAATAAAAATTTGGGTGTTAATTAATTAATTAAAGAAATAAAAATATCCTTTAATTAGATAACTAATTAAAAATTATTAAATCAATTTACACACACTTGCTCCATTTAATTTTTCAAAAACCTTTTTCTCAATAAGAATGAATTCTCATAATGAATATATATTTTAACATAAAATTTATGATAAATATAAATTTAAATGTATTTCTAAATCATGTTCAATGTTTTAAAATTAGTTTTATTTAACTTAGAAATAAATGAGTATTATATGTTGTTCAAATTCCTATCTTTTGGTTTTTGAATTTGACTCTTCTAGAAAATATTAAAGATAATTAAACTTTAATCGATATTTAAATTAATTTCATTTTCTTATTTAAAAATAAATATTTTTGCTTTTTTTTTTTTTTGAGTGGTTGCTCAAATTTCAAACGCATGGCCTTGTGGACTTGGGGGCTGGGCTCAATGTAACTAAAACCAAAACAAGGAGCCGCTCAACGCTGGCCTTTGTATATACATTATTATTTTACCCACTGTTTTTAATTGGGAACGGGAATTTCAAGCTTGAGAATTTTTGTTTTAGGGTTTAGT